GCATCAAACTACACCACGGAAACCCCAAACCGTATCGAGATTTCCATAAAGATTTTTAAACACGCTATCTGCCTTTCCTCTTGCCTTTTTCTTTTTCCCTCTTACTCTGTCTCTAACCGAAGCAGGGGGGGAAAAAAAAAAAAAAAAAAAGAAAGGAAAAAAGAAAGAAAAAGAAAAAAAAAAATCTGGAAAATGGGCCGGAAAACTAATAGAATAAAAATCAAATGATTTGGAGCCGATGTTCTTATTTACAGAGGGTTCCTGGGGCCGCTATCGGGTGGAGCGAGGGGATCTCAAGGTGAAGGGCGGAGCCATGCGGGGACCGAGTCTTGCTCCCTCCCTGCAGGCGCCCACCCAGGAGAGCGGCGCACCAGGGAGTTTTGATATCCCCGGAGCTCGCTCCGCTAGGGCAGTACTCTTGACTTTTTAAACCAAATTTGAACACAATCCGGGCTCCTGCAGGGGTGCGGGAGCTTGGGTGGGCGCGGGGCCCGGGAGCGCGCTGCGTGCGGCCATCATTAGCGCCCCCGGACGTCGGGCGGCGTCGTGGGCATCTCCGAGGGGCGCTGTGTTGCTGGCGTCTGAGCGCACTGGCTCCCTGGGCTCTGCCGCGGGTCTGGGACTGCAGGCCCTGCCCAGGACTGAGGGACGCGGTAGCTTCAGGCAATCTTCAGGACCCGCCCCCTCTGTCTGGGCTCCAGTCCCTACGCACCTGCTGTACACCGCTCGGGGGACCCCAGAGGGTGGGGAGCACACCCAGCCCCACGCAGCTGCAGCCACCAGGCTCGGGCAGTGATGCCCAGGGCCACTGGGCCCCGCAGAACCCATGCATAAAGGACTGGAATGCGGTGTTCCTGTCTGGGGCCCGCGGGGGACGGGGGGCGGTGGTGGGGGATGACGGAGGGGCGTGGAGGGAGGGTTCTTAGAAACTGGGAGAGGCGACAAACTCAGCATCCTCTCTACCTTCATCTCCTTCATTCCAGGCTTCAAGACCATTGCACCAAAAGCTCTGGCCAGCTTTGAAGATTGCAACTGAGCTTCCAGTGCTGCTCCCGGGACGGACCTTCGCCCCATCCCTGTCTGTGTCCACACTTAAACAGGGGCAGAGGTGACTTATTGGGTCCCAGACCTCAGCTTCCTCCACTTGTTGGCCTGAGGACAGTGTCTTCTGAGGCTCTTTCATGGCCCTGGATGACCAGGCATGGGAGGAAAAGGTGTCAGAAATGATGGAAAGGACTCTGAGATTGGACAGGAGTCAGGTGGCAAGGGTGCAGACCCTGGTGCTAAGGACCTCACTGTTGTTTCTAGGACTCTGTGGAGAGCTCACAACCTGTCAGTGGCTTGTCAGTCACACTGCAAACATCCTTCTTGGTGGAAGGTTTTGGGGGGACTCAGAATGACCCGGAGCTGACCCCTGGTGACTAGAGGTCATAAGCCAAGGTTTGCCTGTTAGTCCGGGCCATACTCTCCCAGCCTCTGCATGCAGGTCCCTTCCTCTCCTGTGCTCTCTGGGCCTAGTTTGGGGTTGCCTATTGTCCTGGGATCCTCTGCCCGCTTTCCTTCTGCAGAATCCCTCCAACAAAGTCAGAAACCCACTTCTACAGGCCTCAAGAAGTGGTTGAGGTCATGCAGAGAACCAGGACAACTATTGGTTGCAAAAAGGGACTCTGAACTCCTGACCTAATTTTTCAGGCCAGTGTTCCCTTTACAACTATCCTGGTTGGGGATTCTGGAAGGAGAGTGATTTTCACTCCTTCCCACCCAGTTCTATAAGGTTTCATCACTTCTCCTGTTCCCTAATGGAAAGCACCAACCACGAGGAAAAAATGGCTCTTTGGAATCTTCGCTTGGAAACGGTCAAGGCTGGTAATCAGAATATTTAGAATAGAGAAATTCAGAATGCGAATCACCGGTTTGCAGCTCACACCAAGGCCTGGGTTGGGGGGTGAGGGGCAGGTCGAGGAGTGCAGGGGAAAATACAGAAAACTATTTCCTCTCCTTCCACTCTTTTTCCCAAAGCTCAGCAGACATGACTCCTTCATCCTCCTTTCTTGCATTAATGCTCCTTCTAATTGTAATTGAAGATCTATCTAAGGTGCATCTCTGTAGAAGGGAGGAATGTGATTTTGCAATCCATAGTTCTAATTGTTGGGAAAACTGTTATTTAATAAAAATGAAGGAAAAGAAAATTAACTGCGTTGAACAAGAGAAGAGGTGCTCAGTAAATGCTATGATTTGTGTAAGGAACTGTGCATTCCAGTCATAGTCGTGGAAAATGTGTTTTGTGAATTTCTTAAAACTGTACGACTCTGATGAAAATTCATATAAAGATCTTATTTCTGTGTGTTGTTGGTTTGCTCTTCCCCTCTCAGCCTTTTTCGTTTGGGCATACTTATGGAAAACACACAGAGGGCCTTCAAATTTAAACAATAAAATACTGTCATGATGTCACAAAACTATTGCAGTGACCGTTTAAATATTGGCACAATATGTCTGGCTGGTCCAAAATGTCACCATCATCAAAGCACAGACTGATATATTTATAAATACTCCAATGTTAAGACATTAACAATTTCCTCAAATCTCTCCATTGGGGTTTGGTCCCCAAGATTGTTTTCAGAAAGGAAACATGTGAACGTATTTTAAAGAAATGGACAGCCGAGCCTAGTTTACTTCTGCCATACATGCATGCACACTAGGTCTGACTTTAGCCACGGAGCAAGTGAAATTCACACTGGTAACAGGGATTATTCCTGGGCCTCCTGCTTTTAAAGTTCTCCTTTCTCTTGTTTCCCTCATTTCTCACCTCCTACAAATGGTGCAGGGAACAGGGAGCCCGAGATTTTATTTGCTACGCCTTCATGCAAAGCAATTTGATTTGTTTGTTTAGTTTTGTTTTGTTCCTCTCCAAAGGGTAAAGATGCTCCAAATTTGTGGCAGGACTGTGTTTCTTTATGCCCCAACAATCATGAGACAGCCTGGGAGACTGAAATTCTCTCACCCTGTCCCCTACCCCCGCTAGGGGAAAAAATGCTAGACAGAGCTGGGTTTGTTCAGGAGCTGGGGCGGAGCAACGCCTGGAGAGAATTCCCCTTTTCTGGGGCTGTTTGATGTCTGAATTTTGAAGATTTGTATCAAAAGCGAGAAAAGCAATGTTATGGGATGGTAGGTTAAGGCTCTTGCTCTGCTTTTAAGCCAATGCTTCAAAACAAACAAATCCTGATTGAGGTGGCTGGACCCGGACCACCTCCTTTATAACTACTGTATGGCCTGCCTGAACTTGGGATATCTTCTTTTAGATTTAGGGTGGGCTAAGAGTGAAATCAACTTCCAAGTTTCTCTTGGAAAGAGAAAGGCACAGGCCCCAAATTATTCATGCAGCATCCTGACAAATAATCAGAGGAGATAAAAATTGGAGCCTATCACTGCAGATAAAACTTCTCTAAAAAAAAAACCAAAACAAAAGAACTAAGACATTTCTTCAAAGAGAAGGACAAAATTATTTTTGAAAAATCAAGTGACAGAGAATCGTAGTGGGGAACCTTGCAAATCAGCAATGTGAAGCTGGTAAATCTCACTTCCTATCCCCTCTTAGTGAATGTTTATATTAGCAGCACTAAGAAGAGCTTGGTTGTGTGTTTTACTGGCATGGAAATCAGACGGCTAAAGGTTGTCACTTATGTACTCATGTATTTTAGTCTTCCAACCTATCTCAGTCTTTACCGGCAGGCAAAACAGAAAAAAACAAAAAGAGAGAGAGAGAGAGATACAGAGAGCGAGAGAGAGAGATTCATGTGGCAATCAGACTTTTAAATATATTGATTGGCTTAGTAGACTGGAGGAGTGTATTTCATAAAGCCAAGAGTATGTGAATACGGAAGTAAGTTGGCCTAAACAAAAACAACGGCCACAACAGCAAAAGACTCCCAATGTACTCTGCTTGGGAACCTCTGAATGTGTCATAGGCAACTCTAGATATTTAGACCGGGACATGCTGGCAATGCAGCTACCGAGACAGCTGTGTGCCATGTTTGTGAGGGTGACCACGATTTGCCTTCTGTCCACTGCTTTTAGCAAGAAAACTGGTGGTGTGGCAAGGGGGAGGTTCTACTTCAGAACAGAAGTATCTAGAATTGGTGTTGCTAAGTAAAAATGACTGGGGTAAAGGCACAAGGGAGAAAAGATCAGAGTATGAGCATCCTGCATTCAGTAATAAACACCGTTTCCCATCAGAGGGGTCTGTGTTGAAAGGCGCCCAGGTAGTATGGCTTTGAGACAGTGAGGAAATGATGTCTCCATAGCAGATTTATCTGCTAGGCAAAAGTAGAACCTCTGCCTATTCGATGTCAATATATTAATGTGTCAGATACATTGTAAAAAAATATTACATGGTTTTTGAAAAGGGAAACATGCAAGAAGCCAGGGAAATTTAAAGGAGGTGATTTTTTTTCTTTTGAGAGTTTGTAAGCAAAAAAGAAAAGGGAGCAAAAAATCACATAGAGGGTGTGTATTTAACTAACTTTGTATTTTGCCACACATTGTTTTCATTTAAAGCTATGTCTGACAAATGGGCAGGTTTGACATCACTGATAAGCGCAATACTGTCTAGGGCCTACAAGAAAACCAGGGGGCTCGGCTCCACTGGAGCCTCTGCCCATGCATTTGTTTAGGGAAGGGGAGTTGAATATCAATTTTTCTTCTTAGTAAAATTATCTGCCAGAGAAACAATGAAGCATGAAAAAGTACTATTTAGAATGTGCATGCCTATATATGCTTTTAAAATGCTAACTGTTGCATTCTGGGAAACTTTCCATTATATATATGCATATATATGTATCTTTGTAATTTCAGTGAATTTTTAAAACTAGTATGGCAGGTTGAAACCATCGCACCTGTTCACTTGCACACACCATAAATCGAAAAGCAGGAGTGCGCTTTTCTACGGGTCTCTATGAAACCCCCAGACAAGTGGCATAGTTAATTACTATGGAAGTTATACATTTAATAGCCTTCTTCTCTAACACAGTAATTTTTATTTAAAAAGGAGACTAAACAGAAGTCAGGGGTAGGTGGTTCTCCATGACTGCAAATAATATGATTTTTTTTTTTTTTTTAATGTACAGCTCTCACACAAATTTCATTTTGTGAACACACTGGTAAGTACACGATGCTGGGGCTTCCAAAATGTGGCGTATCCCACTGATGGCTCCAACTTGCGAGTGGGCTCAGTTCTGTAATTGGAATGAAAGGAATTTTAACACTATTTAGACAAAGACTCAAACGCAGCATAAAGGGGAAAGCTAGATTTCCTCATATGAATTTTTTTTTCTAATTTAGAGACTTATTTGTAATGAACAGCACTTATTCAGGATTTAGGAGTTCTTTGTAAAAACAAAAAAACAAAAAAACAAAAAAACATGTATTTGTGTGCCACTCCCACTATATACTTCAAAGTTTTCAGTAACTGTTATTTCCAAAAATGCCTTTTACTAGGAGTTAACCCTCTCTTACAGCTAGCCGCTCAAACCTCATTTTTGCCAGCACCTCTGCACTTGATTTTCTAAAGTTTATTATATTCAACCGCCTTGTAGATTCCTACCAAAATGTTTAATTCTACACAACTGTATTTTTCTCCCAATCCAGGCCTCATTCGTCATGAGGTAACTGCAATAACTACATCCAGAATATCACTCTTATTTTGAGAATGTGTTTGCCTAAAATCTTTCATCAGATGCCGAGATTTTTGTAAAAGCGTTCTCTCCATTTCTGCTTCTTCAGAGTTTGTGTATCTCTTAGTTGTGATCAGGGAAAAAAAATAAATAAATAAAGGAAAGAAATATCTGGAGTCAAGAACACTGACTTCAAGCTCGTGAGGGAAGGCTTACTATTAAGACTTTTGATAAGCAAAATTAAGTGTGGATTCAGGAGCCTATCTAAACTAGCACATAAAGGAAGGTCAAAATGTCGAGGTTATACACTGTCTTCATGTTCTGTGAAAAATAGGCAGGAAGGCCAGATGATAAACTGGCCAGAATTTAGCAGCACCAAACACAACCTGTTTTCTTCAAAATAAGTCTTTCAGTCAGACTTGCAATATTATCTTTTTTTAAGAACTGCAAAAAACAAAACAAAAGCCATCGTGTTTGGCTCTATTTTCAAAACAGTGCTGGCTTTGTCTAACATTCTATTAGTGTGCTAGGGGAAGTTGACTAAGAGTGCAAACTGCATGAATTTGTAACATTAGTTTCATGAATTTGTGTCATTTAAAAATAGGTCAGTGCTTAGGAGTCCTGCTAGTGAAGGTAGTTTTGAGTCTTTCCAAGTGATCTTTCAGTCAGTCCCCATACACAGCGTATTTTGGGGTAAATACCAATAAATGAAAACACAGCCTATATTCCACACAGGTATTATTTTCTGCTTTTATTTCTGGGGATAGCATGATCTGAAATCATTACTAGCTCATCTAAGTAGAGAAGTTCTCCACTGAATATTCATGGTGAAATATGATTTGATAACACAGTTTAAACCAGATACGTACTTGGAACTATGGAAGTAAGGAGTAGATTTTCTTTTTCCTATTTAAGACAAATGACCTTCAATGTTAAAGAGAAAAGCAAAACAAAACAAACAACTTTGATTTGTCTAAAGTGTTTATGTTAAATCTTGTCAGGCCTTGCTAACAAGAAAATCACGGTGTGTAAGAGAAGAAGGAAAAATAATCAACTTTAGTGAAAAGGCAAGCGCTGTTTCTCTTTACCATTAAATGCCTATGTGCCCAAGCCACCTCTGAGGCGCCATATTTGTCCGGTTCCTCTGTCTTTGGATGGGCTTGCCCCTGATCAGAAGCGCAGGGCCATGTTCAGGAAGCCTAGTTCCACTGTTTTGTTTTGTTTTGTTTTCCCACCAAGGGCAATTACGGCTCAACTCATTTGAAAACTGAAAACTTTGGGGAGAAAAAAATGAGGTCATAATTTACATCTCCATTAAATATTGCTAATCAATATATGGGGCCAGCCTCCTCACCTCAAAAAACAGCCTATAGTTTCACCCTGAATTACTGCCTCCCTATTCCTCCACGAATCCTTCCACTGGAGAAAAGGATGCATTTTACACTTTTAACGAGGTTGTTGGGCCCAGTTAAACTGTACACTAAGAAACTGAGTACAGAATCAAAAAAAATGCCGTTTATTATTGTAGATTATTCTTTTTCTTGATATAACCAGAATTGAAAATGAAAGAAAAGCACATAGGAACATCACGCGTGGTTAGTTAGTAACTCAAGATATAAAACAATTTTGCACAGCAAAATATGTAAAAGAAAAGTAACTGACAAGATTTTTTTATATTTATTGTGGTAAGATTTACTTTTCATTTCTTTTTAAAGACAGGATGTCAGTCCCTGAAAATAACATTTACTGATTATTGCCTTTAAAACTGTGGATTTTTTTTTAAGTTACAGAAAATCCAGTTCTGCACCACAATACAACTGTAAAAAAATCTGCATCATCTTAAAACTGTGCAGTAATGCCATTTTTATAACTGCATAAATTTTATTAGCGTTCTAAACAGTTTTGCAATTTTTTTTGTATTATATGCTTGCAGGTTATATCTTAGTGCAATTCAGTCCCAAATACTTTAATTTTGAAAAAAAAAAAACATACATTTTTGAATGTAAAATACCCCTACAGATATAAACAGGGGCGTTTCCCCTTTTAATACTTTGGTTTTCAATACAGTCAGTGGTATAGCAAAAACTACACATACCCAACTTATATTTAAGTTGCAAGCACATGCTGTATAAGCTACTTTTTTTAAACAGTCCCCTTGCAAACTCTACCCCCCTTAACATCACAACAGTAAACAATTTAGTGCATCAATCTTTTAAAAAATCTACAGCTAAACAGACCTAACTCTTTCAAATTTATCTATAACATTCCTTTATCTGTAGCATACATTTTAACTGGGCTAACAGATTATAAAAACTAGAATTAAATTATATACTAGAAACCCATAGCATTCCACATTTGACAATGACCAAAAGCCAAAAAATATAAAATAAAAATAAAACCAACCAAAAATAATGGGGCAGATTTCTCTTTTTAAAAAATAAACTTTAGACTGCTTTTCGGCAATAGCACAATTTTAGTCCCCAAAGTGGGGTGTCATTCTTATTAAAAAGAAAACATTAAGAGTTCTTCAATGTTTGCCAGGTTAAATTTGTAACCCATTCTGGTATCTTTCACAAGGAATGCCTTCAGTGCATTGGGAGGTTGAAGTTCTGAGTAACTCAAAGCAGTTTTGGAGCAGATGCAAAATTTCATGGGAAGAAGGCTCTACGGTTGCACTTTTTTGTTCTAAACTCAAAAAAGTCATGAGGCAATAAAACAAAAGTATGAATGCCATGCTATAAGTCTTCGAACGTCCATTTCCAAGCCAAAAAGAAAAAAAAAAAGGAAAAAATAATTATACCATACATGTCCAGCATGCAGGCTTTTTTTTTTTTATTAATATAATGTCTCTTTTCCATAAAGTCTTTGAAACAGTTATAGTTCATTGTTGCTAAGACAAAGTAGCAAGCATAATAATGCATGAGATGAGAATGAGTTTTTTTAATGGCAGACTAAACTCTCAGATTTGGCATCACAAGGCCAAAACTCACAAGTCACACCCAGAAGGTTGATGCAGGCTTGATTGTGGAAGGTTCATGAGGATTTTTTTTCTCTATTTTAGCATAACAATGCTAAAAAAAAACCCGATGGAACTCGGCACGCTGCAAGTCTATAACATTTCACATTTTTTTTTTCCTTTGCAAGCTCAATCTCACATGAAGAACTCAGGAGAAGAAAAAAAAACTTTGCTTTTTTTTTCTTTCATCTCGGAAGAGATGGTTTGAGAGGGAGTGAGGGTGGAGGTTGGAAAAAAGGTGGGCAACACAGCAAGCTCCAAAAGTAAAATAAAAAAAAAAACCAAACAAAATAAAACACACACACACACACAGAAAATGAACACTAGTTCATGAACTGAAGGGGAAGAAGGAAAAAAAAATATGTGAATGATGCAGGCTTCAAAGGTGAGCAACGTTTCACATGAAGAACTCTGCTGAGATCTTTGAACATTGTGCAAGTCCGGGGGTGGGGGGGGGGTGTAAAAAAAAAACAAGCTAGCAAGTTATGGAGAATTTCAGATTGGCAATTCATGAGCCAGACACCCATTCCCTCCCCAGTTTAAAACAGCCACCACCACCACAAACTCAAGCAGGGTGTGGGGTGTGTGTGTGTGTGTGTGTGTGGTGTGCATGCGTGTTTGTGTGTCTGTAGGGGGCCAAGGGGGCCAAACTCGGTGGGGGTGGGGGGCGAGGTGGTGGTGAGCATGGCTCTGGAACTAGCAAGCCCACACCCGAGTCGGACCCCCGCGGAGCACTTATCAGGGTGGCTAGCTGGGATCGCGTGTCAGACTCACATGAAAAACTCGGGAGAGGACGGGTTGTCGCTGCTCGAGCCGTTTTCTCGGAAGCCGCTGCTCACCAACTTCTCGTATTTCTCCTTGTACGCGTCCCTCTCGCGCACCAGCCTGGAGATCTCCTGCTTGAGATGGTCGACTTGCTGCAGCAGCTGGTTCTTCTCCGACTCCAGGACGTGTCTCTGCTGCACCCTCTTGAAGCGGCAGGACTGGGCATAGCCGCGGTTTTTCAGGGTCCGCCTCTTCTGCTTCAGCCGGATCACCTCCTCCTTGCTGACCCCGCGCAGCTGCCGGTTCAGCTCGCGCACCGACATGGTCACCAGCTGCTCGTCGGAGAAGCGGTCGTCGAAGTGCAGGCCGCCGGCGGCGTGGTGCG